GAATTTATGCCTCAACTTCAACACTGCAAGTGGAAAGTCAACAACATTTTGAAACTGCCTGCTGTACATACTCAGATGATTGATTTAAAAAAGACAAATATTAGTCAATATTAAATATTTCCAAATACTGAAATGTTCTAAGGAAAATTTGATATTCGTGCTCAAATACACAGTGATGGAGCCAGGCAGTTCCATTTTTTTCTGCATGGTGCTGTACAGAGGTTAGATTGTGATGTTTGCTCATGCCCAAAACATGTGTATCTAGAATAATTATCATCATCATCAGCTTTCACTACTTTTGTAGCTTCAATGTGAAGGTCTGCTGGAGATTGCTTTGACTGTTTCTGTTCTTACTTTCATCAATAAGAGCTTTTTGCATCACTGTTAATGACGGAGTCAGACTGATATTTGCTTATTTATATATGGGACAAAACTCTGCAACAGCATGTGTCTGATCTCCCCTCAGACTACAGCAGCGAGTGAGTTGAGGTGGGTTTGGGAGGAGCAGTACAGAGAGATGGGTGCACTGAGAGAAAAAAAAAAAATACCCAAAATATGGTGCTGTAAATGTTGGGCAAGTGGGGTTGCCAGACTTTGGTCTCCACCTGTGCAAATATATCCTGAATCACCCTGATTTGCTCACTTACTTGAGGGAACCCTATTATAAATAGATTTGTTTGTCTGGTTTTCAATCACTGTTGATGATTAATAGTCAGTCTTTTCGTATGTGCTGCATACGAAACCCTCTATCCATAAACCTTTAATTCAGATAAGGAAAAACTCTGTAGGCCTAGAGTCATAAATGTAATTAAACTGAGGGGTGTATATGAGGCAGTCTTGCTTGTCAAAGTGATCTGAAAACCATGTCAGTCTTTGGAAACATCAAAACAGTTCTGTGATCAGTTCAACATGTGGCTTGAACTCTCCTGATGTCCTCTGCCTCTGTGGTTTTTTTAGGTCCTGGTGTTGCTGGATGTCTCCCCGGATCAGTCCATGCTGGATGAAGGCGTTGCCCGAGAGGTCATCAACCGCATTCAGAAACTACGCAAGAAGGTGGGACAATTATTTCAGGAGCACTACTAGCTCTGGAAACGAGAGTGACAGATAACACACCACTTGTGAATTTTACAATTCAGTGTCTAATGAATTGAATATGACATGGTTTGCCAACACAAGTAATCAGGGCTGTGCCAGGGTGAACAAAACATGTCACTGAGGCAGTTTGAGGAGTTGTGCTGAAAGACAAAATACCATTCAAGGCTGTTGCATGGTGTGTAATGGATGGCAGTTGGGCAGGGGAAAATTGACTGAGTGCTAGAAGCATTTAGGAACATGACACATTAGGACTGAAAGAAATACACAAATTCTGTGGTATTTTAAAGGATGACGACAACCTGCACATCCTCTCCTGGCACAGTTCTGTCCCACTGCAGGATCTCTAGAATTAGAAATACACAACAAAATACAGTATCTTTAGTCGTTTTATCTTTAAACAGTATTTTTGTCAGTGATCTTTAGCCTTAAACCTCCTAATCCTGACAGTATCCTTACCACACACCTCTTCCTCCTCAATTACTATGATCAATATAGTGGAGCTAAATGTAGATTAATCTTGGTTTACAGTCTTTCAAACTTGTCATGCCAATCTAATTATTATATATGAATTAGAAAAATTAGAAATGTGATGACGATGATGGGAAATGTTTCGTTAGTGAATCAGGAAAAGATAAACGAGTAAATGTGTAACAAGATCAAAAGAAAAGGAAAATAAAATGAGCCAGTGAAAGATAAATAGCAGGGTTAAATACATTTAAAGTTTTAATTTAACATATCTGTTGGCAGAAATGGAAAAGAAAAAAAGTGTGTTTTCATTAGCGTATAATAGAAATTGCTGTGTTTGTGTTACCTTAGAATGAACCCATGTTGAACCGCCATGTTTCTACATAAGCCACAGAAACATTAAAACCAAACATTTGCTCTAGATAGGGCCTATCGCATTTTGGGGAGTTTTGTAGCCACTGTAGTTTCTCCTACACACTTGGAACTGGAGGGTGAGGCGAGGGGCTTGTAATCTTCTACTACACCACTTTATGCTACTGAATCCTACACACTGGTTCTTTAAGTTTTAAAGTGGTGTTTGAAAGAATAAAGTATAAGCTTTATATTATTTTTAACACCAAAAATATTATTTATTGATTTATTCAGTGATATTTATAACTTTTTACTCCAATTTGTCAGTTTCAGGCTCCAGGCTGGACCATTGGTCGGACGAAAAAGTAATTTGATGACATCATGTGCTCTCACTCTTTTCTGACATTTGATTAGACCAAACTATTAATTGATTAATTGATAGTGAATGTAATCATTAGTTGCAGCCCTACGATATAGACCAAGCAGAGAAAATAACTGTATTTTTTTGGTTACATATCCCACCCTTTGATCACCCCCCCCACCCCCTTCCTCTTTATGTCCCATGCTAATTTTGTCAGGGCAGTTTTGAAATCTTTCCACTGCAGCGTCACAGTTAGAAGTTTCTCCATCATAAGGCAGGCTTAATGGAAGCTTAATTACAGTCTGGCCCCTTTCAGATTCTAATGTTGGAGCTTTGAAGTGGTCTGGGGAGTAAAGACGGATTAGCCAACAGCCCCTTGTTTTCACAAGCAACAAACAGTTTTTTCCATCCCCCTATAGCAGTGGTGTGCACTGGCTCCCGGCCAGGCTAAATTCCTCCAGTTATTTCAAACTGAGATCTGTTAGGAATTTTCCACCCCGGGGATGGGAATTAATTTTTAACAATTCTTTTTACATGTTTGGTAGTAGTTTGTAAATGTGCATGTGCGTCTTTATCGGTGTTCGTGTGGGTGTTTGTGTTTTGTTTGTGCATATGCAGGGTTGAGAAACAGGGGTCAGCATTTCATTTTTTGTTTGTTTGTTTTATTGGACTGCTCACAAACTGGATATCTCTGTAGCACTATCTGACATGTTCTCTCTCACACACACTGTACCAGCCCCTTCAGGGCAGGGTCAGTGCCTTGACTTGGCAGGAAAAGCCTATAAACCTTCCTCCATTGATTGACTGCTCCTCTGTATCTAGCTAACGTTATTCCTCTGCCCTTGAGCTACACACTGCTATTGGAGTGTGTGTGTGTGTGTGTGTGTGTATATATGTTTGTGTGTGTGTGTGTGTGTGTGTGTGTGTGTGTACTACACAGTCAATGTATGTGTGTATGGCTGTGCACATGTGTGCATGGCTGCACACTGCAGATTAGGATGAGATCAATGTGTTTGAATGTGTCAAGGTTAGAGGAAGCTGGCAGCACACAGTGCCAAAATAGATGGGCTTTCATCCAATAAAAAAAACTCCCCTTGTTCCCTTCTGCCTTTATTTGTTCCTATACTGTCTGTTTTTTGCTTTTTAATCCCTCTCTTCTTTTGTGCCCCCTTTCTCCCCACCCAACTTCCTTGTTTAGGTAATTGTTTCTTCCAGATTTCATTTTCTTATAAAAAGAGAAAATTGCTTTGAAGAGACTTTTTTTTATTTTTTCCAAATTGTGATTAGTTGTCTCCTTGGCAATCATTTGTTTTAATTGGATAGCAGATTTCTCTAAATCAAACTGCAGATTATTGTCCATTGTTGTTTGAAGAGCTATTCAAGCTGTACCTTAAGCATATTTACTCACTTATGGTTTGCAGTTCCTGGTGTCGTAAAGCTTTTCTTATACAGCTGAAACTGTTGTTTGTTTACACAGTAAAACCCACTGCCTACTGTATCTCTCTTAATCCCTTGTTTCTCAGGGCCATTTGGTGCCATCAGATGAGATAACGGTGTACTACCGCTGCCAGCCAGATGGGGAGTACTTGGACTCTGTGATCCAGGCTCACACTGACTTTATCCTGGCCACCACCAAGGCTCCACTGTTGCCCTTCCCTGTTCCCAAGACTGCCAGCGTCATCATAGAAGAAAAGACTCAGGTATGAAAGCACACCTCAGGGCAAGCAGGATTATTGGTTGCCGTACTATGATACAAGTTCAGTTTGTACCTTTCAACACTTATGAAAACATTTGTGAGTTATACTTTGGTGTGGAGTTGGTTGATTTTATACCTAAATGTTCTTTGGTGATCCTACTTGGTGATTCCCAAATGACTGCTTTGTAATGTACATTTTTAGTTTAAAGGAATGAGGACATAGGTCAGTATGTCTCTCTCTTTTTGCATCTTCCATGGTCTTTTTCTTCCTTGTTGCAGCTAAAGGGCTCAGACTTGGAGTTAACCATAGTAAAGGGATCTTCAGCCCCTCGGGCTCCTCTAAATGGACCAGCTTGCACCTATGTGAACCTCATGGTGAAAGTCAACAACAAAGAACAAGGTAGCACATGGAAAGTCTGTTTTTCCAGCCAGAAAAGATCTAACAAGAATGTGTTGAACTGTTAAACTGTCAATGTTTTGCCCTTAAGTTACTTTGCCATTCAACTTTTAAATGTTGAGACAATAGGAATATGTACCACAACCGTTGACTACATTAGTAATCCTGTCTGACTGGTTTCCTCTTCAGAGGGGGTGGTGCTGTTGGAGAATCCCAAAGGGGATAACAGACTAGACTTGGACAAGCTGAAGAAAGTGAGCAGCAGCATCTTTGGAACCAATAACAGCCCGCTCAGATTCTTCAATGGCGCGACTGGTGAGAACTGATTTTTGCGCCTCAGAAAGACATATGTCTGCCATCTCATATCACTTGAGTGACCGCTGGTTATCCTATAGTCACCTTCTTCACCTGATGTGAAGACTACAGTATTTAAATGTAGGTGCTAACTGTTTCTTGTAATTAACAATGGACCCCCAAAACTGACAAAATACAGTAAAGGGTTATTAGAAATATAATGAATACATAGAGTAGATAATACTGTTAGTTATATAATTAAAGGCCAGTCCACACTGTCCACGTGAGCCATGCATCTTTCAAATCTTTATCATCATCACTGTTTTTCAGATTAAAAGCTCTCCTGCCTGTCTGTGGACAGGATCCATTCAAGGCTTTTATTGTATTGTATTTATTGAAAGCAAACTCAGTATAGAAAGATGGAGCTGGCAGCAGCAGAGCTGCAGCAGAGACACTGTCTGTGTGTACACCGCAGGTGTGCGAGCCATTCAGCGTGGTTGCTGTCACACACTGCTCACACATGCTGGGTGTATGAGGGGTTATACTTTTCCTTTATCGCCTTTCAGTTGATAAATGCTGTTTTATGATCTTACTTTTCTATCTTTAACATTTCGTGGCACACAACAGTTTATGTTTTACCTGTTTTTCCTCACACAGTATTCATGATTTTCCTGTTGCCTGTATGATAATGACATCGACATGTACATGGAGGTTTCGGAGCACGGGATTGGTACAGGGCTTGTGTTTCTATGTATAACTGGACTGTGCTGTTAGCTTGCCAAAATGAAAAGACTGGTAGCTAAACACACTAAGCTGCAGCTAACCTTTGCCATAAAACTACAGTTGCCAGTGCAGTAAGACTCGACGTTTTGTCAGTTTAGGAGCCCTGTAGTAACCCAGATAAAATTCTAAAGTTCCTCTGTGTGTTTCTGTGTGCGTTTGTGTTTTCAATACAGAGTTGACCAGCAAAATGGACCTTCAGGCCCTGAGCGGTAAAACTTTGTCAGTGACTTCCAGCTCTTCCTCCCCTGGCCCCGTCCCCACCACCGACACCCCCCTGTGTCCTTACGTGAACCTGCTGCTCTGCAACGCACAACCAGCTGGTGAGAAACACACACAAACACACACCGAGCCATGCACAACTGATAAGTCAGTCCTTCCAACTGTTATAAGCCTGCCATTACTCTTTTTAATTATAATCAACAAATCCCCTGGAGAGACCAAAACCAACAATGAATTTATCCTGCTGACAAGTTTTGTCTGTGGAGTCAAAGCTTTATTAAATGTAATGCATGTAGCATCATAGCTCCAACAGATCTGGCCCTTTGGCTTTGACACACTAACCACTGTCTGACACAGACACTGTACATTTCACCTGCTAAAGATTGATATATTGATTGATACATTTATTTGCATACTTTCTGAGACTTAGCTGATAAAACCAATATCACTCTCATGCCTAAACAGTATATATAAAGCGAGTCAGTTGACTTAGCTTAGCACAGAAACTAGAGGGGGGAGGGGGGGTAGCCCCCAGCTAGCCCCCAGCTAGCCCCCAGCTAGCCCCCAGCTAGCCAAAGAAATTGTCCAATCCGATGAGGATTACAAAAATGATCTATAACAAGTTAATTGGTGAGATCTGGAGGGGCTGGTTAGCTTTCAACAGAACCAGGCTAGCTGTTTTTGCTGTTTTGAGTCTCTATTCTAAGCTAACGACTGCTGGCTGCTGGCTGCTGGCTGTAGCTTCCTTTTTACCATAGAGCTGAGAAAGCCAATGAAAGTGAAAGTGTTTTTCCCTAAATGTTGACCTATTCCTACTTTATATACTGTTGGGTAGTTTAAACTATATCAAATTATCATACTTGATGTATAAAATCAGAATCTGCACAGTAACAAGAAACTAGCTGTCAAATAAGTGTACATGGTCATTTTCTACCAATTACATTGATTGTGTGTTGAGTCCAGTGTTTATTGTACTGAAGGAAATTTACTAAAATCCAGCTTTATCCTTTAAGTCATTCAGACTCAACCCCTTTCACCTTGCCCTTCTTCTCCTATATCTCGGAATTGATCAGCCAGGTTCTCTCTATCTCTCATCCTCTCTTTTTGATCTATCATTCCTCCTCCCTATTCCCATGGCTAGGCTTACCTTCCTTACCTTCACATACAATCAATCCTTACTAACAAGCCAATCATTTCTTAATTTGTAAAGGAAGTAAAGTCTGTCTAATTCACTTCTCTTCAACACTCTTTCTATCTCCTGCAGAGTGCCAGACAGGAGAGGTGGGCACCCTCCTGCTGGTGAACCCAGTGGGCCAGAATGGGCTCGACTTCTCAGGCCTGCTGTCTGAGGCTGCCAAGGTTTTCGGCCTCCGCAGCAGACGGCTCAAACTCTACCTGGACCAGGACCTCACCCAGGGTAAGATGAAAAGATATCATACTGACTTTTAAACTAATTTCAGGCCAATAATTCTGGACTCATATACAGTGAGGAGAAACTCAGACTGATATTTCTTACCTTCATAATCTAACATGTCACTGATAAGAAAAGTATTTTTCAGATCAGCTTTGGAATTGAAGGAATTAGATGTTATAAGATGCTCAGACATTTTAATAATACAGCAATTGAATTCTTTATTTAAAAACGTTTGTTCCATTTTCCATTCCATTTCCATTTGTTAAAATTAGTTGAAGCAAAGATTGCCAAGAGAGGTGTTGCTAAGTTTTACTTGACAAAATGGTTCCCCATGGGGGTTAGATGTCCTCTTAACAGGTCAGGCCTTTACACCCTGGGGACGTGACGAATAAACAACTTGACAATGCGAAATACTCAGCTCCAAACATGTAGCCTCAAAACTATCTATAGATGGATAAATGATATGATATGATCGAACAGACTGGATGTAATAAAACTGTGCATGATGGATGAAAAATGTACTGCACCTTGCACAAAAAAGTGTTTTTAATATAATTTGAATTAACTAAATTAACTTCCCAATTTGAGCTGCTTAAGAGTTTTAGAAAGCAACTGTGATCTTGGATGTTTTATTCATTTTATTTTAGCCATACATAAACAGAAACATACTTTGTAACTCTTTAATGTCTCTCTTTATTTTACAGAGCTGCCAGCTGATTCAACAGTAAAATCTCTAGACACCAAAACTCTCTTCGTGAGAGTTCTTCCAACGACCGCCGAAGCATAAATCCAGAGAAGCAATCTGAAGATCTTGGCATCAACATTTGTCTCAGATGTCTCACAGGTTTCCTGAATGAAGTTTTTTACCACTTAAATCCCACCAATAGCCCCTTTGATGTACAGTGGGTTTATGACATCAAGTGCCGTCATTTGTTTAGATGCTTTTTGGAAATCTTGATGCAAAGCAGGCTTGTCTGTCAAGTTCACAACTGTTACTCCATAGAGTCACTATCACCCATGTCTTGAAATTTCTTGAGACAACTTCAGGCACGCAAAATTAGAGTGCCTAAAGAAGTCTAGAGGTTTTGATGGGTTTCAACGCATTCCAAGATGTGATGATAGCTCTAATTAATCATCGTATTTAGCCAAGACTCCAGCACTGTTCTCCCTGTCGCAGTTTCTTTCCCTCATACTGTATTTGTCATCAATTATAAGTGACACTTCTCTAAGAAGGCACAATGTGTTCCTAGGCTATATTTATTCTGGACTGAGAAGAGATTTATATGATTTCTTCACTAGAAAGTGGATGCTCTTCAAGAACAGAATGATTGCTCATACATAACAGCTGAGTAGACTGCTGGATAGATGTGTGAACGTGAAAGTGTGAAGTCGTGGAAACTGGGAATTGTCTGATGGAAGGAAACCAGACATCACATTACACCATAAAGAAATGCCAAAGGTTCATTTACCTCTATTTTTCAGTTTGTATCATGTTTCAGTAAGTTGGAAATATAAATTCTAGGGAACTGTGTAACCTGTCTAGCTGTCGATATTAACAATGAACATTTCTTTCTTTATTATGCTAATGATAAAATTATGCAAGCTACTTCCCTTCAAGGCTTATTTGAGGTGAGCTTAGTCCGGAGTAATTATTGCTGTGGCACATAATGGGGAAACCAAATTGGCCTATTGTGCTTACACACAATTTTGAATTTAACAGATAAACCTATTCTGCTCATTGCATTGGGACTCCTTTGATAATTGTAAAGGCATTTCAAAAGGTGAAATGGATTTTCGGGCTGCTGTACCTTCTCTCATAAAAATAGCAACACGTGGATATTGTACTATTTTAAGTGACAAATGGAATAAATCAAAGGTGACTAAGAATCAACATGTTTTCTTTCTGCTCACTCAAACCTTTGTATGAAAAGAAGGAGCACGTTATGTATGTGGGATCCTGCAGACTGACTTAGCTGCAGATACAGGAACATTTGCTTGCTTTTGTTCATCCCGTTGACATTTTTACTGACTCGTGGTACTTTCTCTAACTGCAAGTTCAGAGAACAAATACAACAAACAAACAATTACATATGCCTCGAAAAGAAAGAAAGAAATTTAAAGGAGTGAGTTTGCTTATTTGCTTTCATGCGGGTGTTAGATGAGAAGATCAATACCACTCTCATATCTGTCCATTCAATATGAGCCTGGAGCCAACAGCTGCTCACATATAGCTTAGCATAAAGACTGGAAACAGCTCACCTGGCTCTGTTTAAAAGTCATAAAATCTGACTACCAGCATCTTTTTTTAAGTATAAAAACATCTATTTTTGTGGGGTTATGTGCCAGACAGTTTCTTGAAGGAGTTTGGTTACATGGCAACCAGTGGAGACTCCAGGAAATAGACTCCCTCCCAAAAAACAAATTTACACTTTTCTTTTTTTTGTACAAAGTAAACAAAATATTAGTCAGTGAGCTTTAGAGGTGGTAGTATGTGGGTTTTGTTACCTTTGGGCAGAGCCAGCCTAGCTATTTCCGCTGTTTACAGTATTTATGTTAAGCTAAACTAACAAGCTGCCAGCTCCATGCTTATTATAAATGGACAGGTGTTAAAATGGTGTCAAACTTGTCATCTAACTCTCGGCAAGTAAGTGAATAAGCGTATTTCCTAATAATGTGTGCAGTATAATAAAACAGTAACTGCCTTTTTTCTCTTTTCAAAAATTATTCAGAATTGCTTTGTAATAGTAAATAAGGTATAACTATGTGAAGATGATTTCTGGTTAACTAGTAAAAAAAAAAAAAAATAGGTCACTTGACTGCTTCTGGTTTTTCTTAGTTTCTAATAAAATCTTAATCATTGTCGTGAAAACCCAGTGTGAAATATCAGGCTCCTCTGGCTACAATGTAATCCTACCATGCTCCCTAATTAGAGGCATTTTTGAGAATATTTTTCAGATTCTAAGTGACCTGTGGATTATTAATGTCAACAATGCCAACTAAATAACGCCACCTTAAACGGGCACGGTGCTCTTTCTAGTTTCAGGTTTGAGGGATGACAAGCTAGTGTCTCATATGTTCTGCCTACAGCTGACCCAGTAACTCGCTGTCCATGGAAAGAGGAATTAATCTTCCACTGGGTCATTCTGCAAGCTCCGTTGGTTATTGTACGGATGCCTCAGACCTACTTTTTCATTCTAGCAGACTAGTCTGAATGAGGGATTCACTGTATGATTTGAACTGAGTCACTTGTAACTAAATAAATGTCACAAAACCCTATACTGCCTGTACACAAGAATACAGAGACATGGTAGTTCATTTGGAGAGAGTAAAAAAGACAGTTATTAATATCACTAGACTCGGTGTGGAGCATTACATTATTCTGTAATAACGCGGGGTGACCTTGAGGGCTGGTTTGACTGTTGAGGATTAAACATAAGTGTTAGCCCGACTTGGCTTTCCAGGGGACGTTTATAGTGTACTGACGTCCACAGGCATGGTGTTAATTTGTGTCTGTGAAACCTGGTTCCCACTGGTCTGCGGCCAATATAGTGAGAAGTGTGTGTGTGTGTGTGTGTGTGTTAGACTTGTGTGTTGATTAATGAAGTGGCCAGGAGGGAGAACTGCATGTTGGCAGTTCAGGAAAATCTCTGTAGGGGGTGCTGTCTTCTCCTTGTGGACCTTACAAGACCATACTATACATTTCCTACTAATTTGCAACCAGAATTAAACACATAAATAAACTATTAATCTTATAGTATACTATAAAAGTTAATAAACCTTTGCTCAATTTAGGCTGCTACACTTTTAGTAACAGTACAGTATACTAAACTGTTTTCTTCCCTCAAAAATTGTAAAGCACAACAAATAACCCTAAATACATCGCACAAGTACCCAAAGCAGATTACTCACAGATGTCAAAGAAGTATTCAAATCATTCACTTTAGTTAAACAATTAATAAAATACTCCAGTATAAGTAAAAGACGTCAGTACCTGGATGAAGAAATCAAGATCAGGTTTATTGCCAAGTCAGTTTTCACATACAAAGAATTTGCTTTGGTATGTTGGTGCATAACAATAAACAGAGCAAGAGAAAGGAGGAAGAAAAAACAAGTTCTGCAAAAGTCAAGCTCATAAATAGAAAGCAGAAAAAGTTAGAATTAAAAATGTATAAAAAACATGTACAATATAATGTAAGAGTTCATAGTATAAAGTTTAAAGAATGTGTGCAATCGTACAGAGATAATAATCCAAAAGGTATGCGTTAATGTAACACATTGAGTCAGATGTGATGGTTTTAATGTAACGTGTAGTGTCCATGGGCCGGGACAAGAGTCTGTATCAGTGTGGTCTGGGGCCTTGTTGATGAAGTGAGCTACCGCTGGAAAGAAATTGTTCTTGTGGCGTGAGGTTTTGGTCTTGATTCACTGCAGCCTCTTCCTAGAGGGGAATGAGGTTATGTAATTTACATATATTGTACTACAGTAAAATTCCATTAAGAAATTTTTGAAATTGCTAGACAGGAAGTCTGCTTTTGGTTGATCCTGTGAGTCAAATAAAGGAACTTCAGCACAAAATCATATCAAAATCCTATATTACCATAAAGCAATCCTGCTCGGTGATTTGCAACACTGTCTGCAATGAGCTTATACATTCAGAGATATTAAAGGAATGGCTACTGTACCATGATATAAATGATATGACTGGGGCGCCCTGGTGGTTCTCTTGGTAGAGCTGGTGCCCCATGTACAAAAGTCCCCCAAAAACTTACTATGGAAAAACTGGAGTGAAAGTATAACGTTTATCTTTATATGTAAGAAAATGTAACACAGTATAGTACTTTACTTTCCACCTGTGAATTCCAGAATCTCTATAATCAGTGTCACTTCAGTGTGATGGTTTTATCTCCCCACCACCCCTCCTGGGCGGAGCAGCATGCTGCTTCACTGGTTAAATATTAAGCACACAGCTCTGTCTCATCCTCCTCTCATCCATCTCGCTCCCATCTGCTCCTGCTGCTCCATTTGTGCCTCTGCACACCCTGGCCCGGGTAAGAGAGCAGGTCAGCGACCCATCTGCTGATAGACTTCACAGAAATACCGTATGCAGCACGGGTGAAGTGAACACGACCCCTGTCATCTAACTCTAATAATGGACAACACGACTCATTACAGTGTGCTGCAGTGACAAAGAACAAAAGTTTTGCCACAGTGCAGGATAAAGACAGGTGTTTTTCAAGAACATATAAGCCAATAAGGGTTGTTTCCAGCGAGCCCACTCTGGCAACATGTGTGTGTGCTGCGTAATGGAAAAATCTAAATCTCTGCCAGTAAATCAATTTTCAGCGCCCTGCGTGTTGCCCGCTGCAGAATGACAGCAGCAACCTCAAACAAGCAAGCACAATAGGTAAGAGGATGGAAAAAAACATAGGCATGTTTGTTATTTTGGCTGTAGAAGGTGTCTGATCTGACGAACCAAATGAGTGGAATTATCCTGACACCCAATGCTGTGCAAGTATAGCATTAAGTAGGCTATAGCATTTTAATAGGCAAGCTGTCTCTATAAGGCTGTCTTGAAAACCTACATCTATAATGTATAGTTGTCAAAGTGAAGTTAGAGGATCTACATTATTCTTTATCAGGTCCTTTTTTTCTGTCTCTTCGCCTGATTCTCACTATACCAACTCTGTTTAGAATTAAAATAAATAATTTTTCAATTTCTGTTTTATCGTCTCCCACACATACCCAACCCCTCTGTCTTTGAAAGTTCAATATTGATGTCAACAGTGCATTTTCTCCTTTAACAGCTTGTGTGGTCAGTAGTTTATGTCCACATTGCCCAGAATGTCCATATGAGCATAATGTGACCTCTGTGCCACATATGTTACCATAATTTCATAAATGACATATCATACTACATACTTCTTGTACTATACATTAGAGGATGAGTAATAAATTGGGCTGGC